CAGGCCAACCACTACACACACACACACACACACACACACACACACACAAACACACACGCACACACACACACACGCACACACACACACACACACACACACACACACACACACACACACACACACACGCGAACACACACACACACACACACACACACACACACACACACACACACACACACACACACACACACACACACACACACGCTCGCTCGCTCGCTCCCACACCGCTCGCCCACGCGCACCGGGCCTTGCACTTCTAACGCCGTGGGGCTCCTGTCGTCTAGTCGTGGAGGCGCGAGGGTCGCCCGGCCCTTGCCGCTCCCCTTGCCCCAGCGTGTGTGCGTGGAGGAGTTTACCTCCCCCTCACCGTCCCTCAGGCAAACCTCGCCCACTTTCTGCGCGAGGTCGTGCCGGCCGCGGTGTGGCCGTGCGTGTGTGCGTAGACTCCACCTGCCCGCGGGCAGCGCCTCTTCACAGCGGAGTCTGTGAACAGGCGGCCGCCGGCGTGTACATGGCCATCCACCCGGACGACCCTCCCATGCCGCTGCTCGGGTAAACGAAAACCGAATCGGACCCCATCGTTCGAACTCACAATTCCTCGAAGACTTGACCTAGGTTGCCGCGCGTTGTGTCCTGCGAGAGCGACGTGCAGCATCTTCTGGCCGCCGTCGACTCGCCGCACAACGGGCTGACCTTCTGTGTCGGCAGCCGTTACACGAGATTTCGCGAGATTTCACGAGATTACACGAGATTACACAACGGGCTGGCCTTCTGTGTCGGCAGCCGTTACACGAGATTTCGCGAGATTACATGAGATGACACGAGATTACACAACGGGCTGACCTTCTGTGTCGGCAGCCGAGAGTTCACGAGATTTCACGAGATTACACGAGATTACACAACGGGCTGACCTTCTGTGTCGGCAGCCGAGAGTTCACGAGATTTCACGAGATTACACGAGATTACACAACGGGCTGACCTTCTGTGTCGGCAGCCGAGAGTTCACGAGATTTCACGAGATTACACGAGATTACACAACGGGCTGACCTTCTGTGTCGGCAGCCGAGAGTTCACGAGATTTCACGAGAGTACACAACGGGCTGCGGTGTACACACCCAACCTCACCTCTGTGCCGGCAGCCACGCCCAGCAGCGGCCCAGCAGCGGAACACGCATCCTTGTGTGTTGTCGAGCGCTCGAGAGGACACGTACACCACTGTTTGTGCGGCCGCTACTGTACTCGTAGCCCCTCGTACTCGCGCGGTGCTCTGAACACACACTGCACAACACCGTCTTCCCGCCCTCACGTTGTGTGTATGCATCACGTAGGCAGCTACGCCTCGAGCTCGGCCAACGACGTCGAGGGCATGGCGGGCACCACACACACACACACACACACACACACACACACACGCACACACACACACACACACACACACACACACACACACACACACACGCACACACACACACACGCACGCACACACACACACACACACACACACACACACACACACACACACACACACACACACACACACACACACACACACACACACACACACACACACACACACACACACACACACACACACACACACACACACACACACACACACACACACACACACACACACACACACACACACACATACACACCACATACACATACACACACACACACACACACACACACGCGTACACGTACGTACACGCTTGTTCACAGACACACGCACACAGGCGCAGACACGCGCTCACACATGCTGCCTGTTGCTAACTTACTCTGACACGAACTCTCGCACATCTTCACAGTGCCCGGCATATGCCTACCCATTCCTAACGGATCTGTCCCGCCGCTGCGGATATAGATAGATAAAACACCGGTCCTAGCAGACGTATCGAGCGTCGTCTCAATC